CCGGTAATTAAATCCTCATCTTTTTTCGGTACATGCTCCATATTACTTAAAGCTTCTTCCATGTTATAGGGAGTCAATATACCAGGTGGTATCACTTCAGGAGATTTATCACGATGTTTAATCCAAGGTGCTTCACCGATAGAAAAACTATTTATTCTATTTCCATATTCTGTATCAAATTTTGACCATGAATTAGTTTTTGGTAACCACTCTAAAAATTTATGATGTTTTTGTCGTAACTCAGCTTCACTTAATTCATCTTCATTATCAGAGGTTGAAGCAGATTTACTTTTTTTAAATATAGAGTTATCAGATAAAATATTTTTCCAAAATTTATCTAAATCTTCTTTATCCAAAGTTGAAGATAATTTACCTTTTATTGAACAACCATTATCCGAGATTGAAGTGAGTTTACTTTTTATTGGACAATTATCTGGTAAGATATTTTTCCAACTTTTCTCTAATGCTTTTGCAACTTCACCAAGGGTTATACCAGAATTTAGAATTACTCGTCTTACGGGATCATATTTTGAATCTTTTGCTGGTTCCGAAGGTCGAATTTCTAATATAACTTCTAACCATGGTAGATAATTCATTGCGAAATGTAAAGGTCGATAAAATGCTAAATTATCAGTCATTATTGAAGAATTTTGAATTTGTTGACCAAATAAATCAAACGTTATTTTAGAATTTGATTTTGAATCAAAAGATTGGTCAGAATATGAAGATAACGGTGAAGATGGAGTTGATAAAGTCCGAGGTGTTGAAGGAGGAGAGAATACATCTTCAGAAGTATCAAATTCTACAATTATAGATGAATTTTCTTCCATCCATTTTAGGATATCACCTCTTGTTCCGTAAAATATAAATTTAGTTTGTGTTGGAGTTAAACGGATTTTAGATAGTTTAGGTAGTTTTACTACACGAGAAGTATTATCTATGGTGCTTTCTGAAATTTATAATTTTTTGTAATGCTTTTAGCTTTCTTTTTATTAGTAGT